ACTGAAATGATATGTTCTAAGCTGTACTGACTCCACACACCCCGTCTCGCCTCCAGGACTTTATTTTACTGTTCTGTTTTAAAACATTCGGTTATGAAAAGGTACAAATACGAACTTTTCACCTGGAAAAACTTATTTAAGGTTCACAATCAGACCTTAAACCCACTGTTGTACCTTTGAGGGAACATTTACAGTGTTTGTACCTTGATGAACGAGAAATGTACCTGCACAGAACCTTTATTTCTAACAGTGTAGAGCTGTTCTTTTTTAAATTAACATTATATGATTATATATGGACGCCTCCAGCTTCTGTATGGGTTTATTAAAGTCGTTCAACAGCTCCTGATTCAACATAATGAAGTACTGATTAGATAAACCAGGTACTGGATCAAAACTACAAACAATACTGCGCTGCTACGAGAAGAGCACACAATAAAATATCGAAAAACATAATTACTATTGTTATTTCTATTTATTTCAATATTAGTCTTTTAATATAATCTTCTTAGGTGCCTAAAAGATAAAGTGCTGTATATTTACTTTCTAGGAATATAGAAAAACTCGCTCTGGTCAAAGTTTATGAATAACATAAGCCAGTTTCACTCGCTTATTGTGAACAGACACCACGGGCTACTTTCACAAGTGGCCAACATGCAGGTCCAGCTAGGTTTTAATTCAAGAAAAAACAGTGACAGACTGGCATTGAGTGTCAAACCAACAATAAACAGTGTTGAATGTTACACTGTGGGCATGTAAGAAGTACCATTCCCTCAGAATACTGACCATTGACTGCAAATCAAGCCATCTTCTCCTAAAGCAGCCAGCATCACTGAATGCTGCAGTCAAAAATAACCAAATAAGACATCATACCTCAGTACAGAGACATATTACACAGCTTTCAATAAACAATAAACTTTCTTGGTTTCAACATTTGATATGTTGTCTTTGTAGTATTTTCATTTAAATATAGGGTTTAAATGATTTGCATACAATTGAATTATTTAGATTCTGCACATCTTTTTTTGGAAATGGGGTGGTATTATTGCATCAGTACTGTTAGAGATTTCTCCACCATACAGACCATATAGCTTACCATATAGAGCCATTTACACATTTTTCACTGGAGGCAAAATTTGCACTTCAGAAAATAAAGACAGAAATAAAGTCTTTTCTCATCTACTGTTATTAAAACAATGTTTATGCTGAAGTTCCCTAAAAGTGTGGCATGATTTCTCAGAAATCTGGGTGACCAGCTGACTCCTAATCAGAGTTAACAGTGATTTCGGTAAAAAGGGAACATCAGGAACACATCAGAGAGGCCTGTGTTAAGAAGCTATAATCTCTCAGACAGACTGAGCAGCACTTATTTACATTATGCCAAAATCAGTGACTACCAAGAAGTTCGCATGAACAGTTTTCTTTCTGCTTTCAAAGGCGAAGTTCGCTTCTCATAAAGATTTAATGACACATTTCCTCTTTTCTTGTTCCTCTGCAGATGTTTTTACTGGCAAATTGCGTTTTATTCAGATTCTAAGATGTTTATATATGAACATTTGTACAGTTAGAGCTTCTTTCCCTCCAGTTATAGTCCAGTTATTATCAATTAGCACTTATGTAGTTTTTATGAATCTGCAAGCTACTTTATTTGCTTTATAGTCATTTATAGAATATGTTTATATAAAACCAGCTTCACCCAGTAGGAGCTGTATGCAACAATATATGCATATGTTAATGTAAAATATAGTGCTCTTATTATTATTGATGACATAATGACATCTTTCTACAAACCACAATCAAAAATAAGATTATTGTGAGTGATGAATAATGTTGATGTGGATTTATTTCACTTATTTCTGCGGTCATCAAAATTGGGAGCTTCAAACTTTCAGAACTGCTGCAGCTAAGAAGCAAAACACGATTCTGTTGTGGTTCTAATTTTGGAGAGTTAGTGTGAAGTAATAACCCCCCACAACCAAAAACTAACCAGATCAGTGTGGAAAAGTCCCTACTGATTCTAAAACACTTTCACCAATTGGACCAGTGACAGAGCAGCAATAGAGCTGCATTATCAGTCTCTGAGGAGAGTTTAAACAGAGAGTTCAACTGCAAATCGGACCACCTTGACTAACTTTTCACTCACTACTTATAAACATACACGGTGGGCTACATACAGGTTCAACAAGGATTTAATAAGTAAAAATGACAGAATGGAGTTGAACGTCAAACCAACAAAAGGCCTCATTATTTACCTGAAGTAACACAACCAGGTATTAAAGCTGCTCCACTGTGTTTTATGCACCAAATAGAGTCACTGATACTGTGCATTCAAGACTGATGTATGTCAATGAACTCTGCTTTGATTGGCTGCTTCATTCAAAACCAGGCTGACACTGTTTAGCTTGGCTGCGCTGTCTCAGACTGATGAGGTTTAATTAGCGCACTACTGCGAAGGTTTTATTTGTAGGTCTCTATTCATATCAACTTTACAGGAAAAGGAAAAAACTTACTCTACTTTTAATGTAAGTCAGTGGAACCAGACTGCTTTCCAAGTATTTTTGGGTCATTTCTGTTGGTCCATCCGTCATAAAATTTACGCACAATATAGAGGACCACAAGTACTTTCAAATTATGTCAAAAACAGAAAAACGTCAAAAATGGACATACAAGATATATTGGCCATACTGTGAAAATGATTAGTTCTTAGAGTTTTAATTATTAATCAAATCATTTTTCCACTTTTGTTTTTACAACTTACAGTGATTTTACCAGCCTGAATTACTGCCTCTCTCTGAGTACACGCCCGCCAACCACTAGAGTGTGCTTCACGGCCCACAGGTTGAGAAACCCTGCATTGTATATTGTTCTCAGTCAAACCGACCTGTCTGCATGTTTCCTTGCTGAGTTGAACAACTGCCCATCCTGTCTGCCTTGATCAGGTGCCCCCGCTCACCCACCCTTCGGACCAGTTTGAAGCCTCGCCTACCTGCCCCACTGGCCCTCCTGTTTATACTGATGCCTCCATTGTTTTTCACAGATTTAAGTCTCATTTTCACTGAGATACGGCTGATTTTTATAGATCTATTTCTCATATATTATCCTTTTAAGCCTCTAACAGTAGTCGCCAGTTATCAAATCAAAATACTTGAAAATACCGATGCCAGGCTTGTTTCTTTTCATAATGACATATTCAATATTGCATATCCACAGTCAGTTCTTCAGTCTATTCCCTTTTTGAGTCTCGGTTCCTTTCAAGATTTCTTCTTCTTGTTCTTCTGATCACTGTCATTTCTCTCTCACATACGTATTTGAAAGAGGATCTTAAAAAATGTGTGTCTGTTGTGGGGGGAGGGGTGCAGTCATGGAGACAATGAGCAGAGCTATTAGCACTTTCCACTTGATTTACTGACATTTACCATCGGAAAAACACTGCTTCATCTCTCAGGATCAGACGTAGCACAGCACAAAATGTGCCTGATGCAGCTGCCATATGTGTCAGTTTTTACCAAATTCTAAATTACTCCTCTGTAATCTGTAATTGTTAGCACACATTGTTGTTGCATCAAAGCACGTTTTGTGTTATGTCTTCTCATATACATACATTTGGACCTCTGATTTTAAGGTCACCCATTCAATTGCACAGGCACAGCTTGTATAATCTCCTTAGAAAAGCTCTGTCCAATAGAATATGAGGCTCTGGAGTAGGTGAAGGTCACCATGCCCAGTGCCAAGCTTGGGCCAGAGGGGTATAAAACACCCCAGCATTGGGCTGTGGAGCAGTGGAACTGTGTTCTCTGGAGTGATGGAGCTCCATCCAGTACCTTTGGGATGAGTTAGAGTTGGAAAACTCACCATCCAACATCAGTACCTGAGCTCATTAATGCTCAATCAAATCCTCACAGTAGAGGGTTCCCACATCTAGTGTACAGCCTTCCCAGAAAAGAAGAGGCTGTTACTGCAGCAAAAGTTTCAGGGAAATAGTTCTTCAGATTGAAGGAGAATGCGGTGTATAAGGTTCTATGTAGAACCTTTATGAAAAGGGTTCTATATAGCACCAAAAGGGTGCTATGGTTTTGCAATGGGTTGTCCAGCAAGCTCATACAGATGTGATGGTCAGGTGTCCACATATTTTTGGCCATATAATGTATATCTGAAAGGCTTATCAAGCAATGTCAACTGAGAGGGGGCAGAATGTTTCCACTGAGGAGCCACTGCCCACCACAACCCAAGCTGACCTGCTTTATATCATCAGTAAAGAATAGTGATCTATTCACTATAGCAATCTATGAAAGTGGAGCTGAATCAATTCAGCAAGTACAAATGATCAATGACTGCCTCAACTCAGGTCTGCTGCTGGTTTGTTTCAGCTTTACTGTGTATCAGAGTACTAAAACTCTGATACACAGCAAGACAGGCTTTATTTTTAATTATAAATTGAGTTGCATATTTAATATTAGATATTTTTAATACTCAGAATCACCATAAACTGAAAGACAGAACTAGATATTATTAATTTTATAATATTTGTCATATTTATTGTTATTAAATGTGTGAGGGAAAGTGCACTCATTGTGTTGAATGGGACACTGCACAGTTTATCGCCTTTCATCACCTTTTTTGTTGGAGCATGAAGGCCAAAAAAGCAGAGCAATAAGGATTTTAGGTGATTTTCCAAGCCGAATTACTCACTGATGCTGATGTCACAGCTTGATTATTTGCTATTTAGTGGTGGGTCTGCTGAATGTCCTGATATGTGGACTGTGTGTCTTAAACCGTAGGCTAGACCTGACTTACCATTTTGCCTGCAGTGTCTAGGAATAAATTAAATAATCTTAAATTAAGCTCACAACAGGAGAAATATTAGATTCATTGACTACGTTTAAGATAATTTTAGTTGAAAAAATACCATATTTGCAGATGAATACATAAATTATGTACAAGTTCATAGTTTAATAACAATTCTTAGTCAATTTAGTTTCATAAACGTTTTAATTTAGTTTCATAAATTGCACACCAACTCGAAGTATGAGATTAAAAGATTGTCACGGAGACTTAAAATAGCTTTTTGAACAAAGAAATAGTTCGAAAATATTTATTTAGCTCAGCAGAATACATAAAAAACAAATCAAGAGCTGTACATAAAGCTATAGACTATAACAGGAAATTTTGGATTGTTGTCTTCTAAAACGAAACAACAGTAAAAAAAAAAAAGGTATAGATGTTTCCAAAAAACTAAATAAAAGTCAGAACACTGGAATTAAATCTATGTCTAATGTTGCTTTGGTCTCATTTAAAATCTTATCCACCGTCAAACTCTGCCTGGTTTTGTTTTTGAGACTTGAGTATGAACTGTAAATGGTCAAAGTGGCAGTTTTCATTTAAAACAAGTAACTTACACACATTATAGTCTCCAAGATTTAATTTGACCCACATCTATCATGTTCCTCTTATTATCAAACTTATACAAATACTTCTAAACGAAACAATATCAAGCTCACGCTGATACAAAAAATCTATATTTAATTCTATAAACTTCGTGCAGGTAAGTAAAGCTGATCCCAGACTCCACTGCTTCTCTTCATCACTTAAGAGTAAAGGTGAGTCCTCAACATCAACACAGGAACCTGCAAGAATTCAGATACATAAAATGTTTTTCAACAGCAATATTGGTTCATTTAGTGTTTAATAAAAGCAGATTTTATGGCAAACAAAAGATTAAAGCTACTAGTGGTCTTACCTTGACTCAACTTTACAGAATTCCTGTAAAAACACATTCATAATTGTACAATAAATGAAATGAATATATTCATAATGCCACAGATGGACCAGTGTCACTTAAACTGTGTCTTATCTCCACTGACCTGAGGATTTCTTCTTGTAGTACATGAATCCAGCAGCTGACAGGATGATCCCCAACACCAGCCCTGAAGCTCCAAAGGCAATCTTGTTCCTGTCAGACTCAGGAAGAGACGGATCTGTGGGACAGTTTCATTAATGCCAAGCATCATCATCATGGAACGTTATTGTAACCTGGAGGAGTTCAGTTGGAAATGTGATAGGTAACTGATTTGGAAGAACGCTGTTTGAGTGGGCTGCAGGTTATCTGAACATCTGTTTCTTGAAGAGTGGAAAAAGCACACACATGTCGTAACCCCCACAATCTACCCCCCCCTCCACACACACACACACACAGTTAACAATAGAAAACGTGGAAATGTATAGCATAAGTTCAACCAGAGTTCACAGCGAGGACAATGAGGACAGTAGGTCAAGGATCAAGGCAGATCAGGTCCCATGTTTACATCATAGGGGACTGGAAAGCTTTCATATGTCAGGTACTTGTTTGTAAATATAAATCGTCGCTGTCCAAAGAAAAACAAGTATCTCCAAAACGACAACTTTACAGCACAGCAAAAATGTTCTTTACTCTTAATGTAAGTGAATGTCGAGAGATTTCATTCCATGCTATTTTGGAGCATTTCTATTGGTCCATTTATCATGTAATTTTCACAATGTAAAGGACAGCTGCGCTTGATACTGAAAAATAAAAAAAAAAGGAGACAAATAGTTCGTTTTCTGTCGTTCTTACAGCAGCTGAAGGCGAATTGGTTTATTTTAGGTTGGGGATCAATAACTTCTTTCCTCTCTTTATCAGAAACCTATTTCAGTTTTATGATCATCTGACCTTGAGTTCACTGATTCTTCATTGATATTTAATGACAGTAATAGTCTGTAATGTAATGACTCTATATTCTCACCCCACTCATAGATGATGGGTTCCTTAGAGCTGGCGTGGTCCACCACACAGGAGATCTTCTCTCCAGATGTGGGCGTGTACTCCAGGTGGGAGTGGATCTGGTAGTACCAGTCTCCATCAGCCATCTCTGCAGTGGAAATCATATCAGTGGTCACTTTTTTGCCGTCTCTCAGCCAGTACACATCGATGGCTGGGGGGTAGAAGTCATACGCGCTGCACATCAGCAAGGCTGGATGACCACCACTGGCATGCTTGTCTAACATGAGTTGGACCACCGGCTTCACTACAAACAACAGAGAAATTATGAATGCATAAGATCATTTCAAAAACAAGCAATTGAACCGATTCAATGTTGAGAAAGTAAGCAATAGTCCTTGGATAAGTTGATGATAAGGTTTACCTAAGATCAAAATTAGCCTATTGATAAAAATACCAATAATGAATATAAAAGTATTAATATTGATACTGATATTAATACTTTAGAACTGACAACATTTTACATTGTACTTTTGTCAAGAAACTGTCAGTAAACCAATTTCAATATCAAAAATAAGGTTTGATCATTTCCGCATAAACACTTTGCATGCATATGCTGCCTTGTTGTGCACAGAAGTGTTATTGTAAGTGTTTGTGCCATGTGGACATGTTACTGTGGCAATCTTAAAATTCAGTTTACATTGCGTCTCATGAAATTGCTTACAACCCCATTTCCAAAAAAGTTGGGACGCTGTGCAAAATGTAAATAAAAACAAAAGGCAATGATGTGCAAATCATTTGAACTCTATATTTTATTGAAATTAGCCCAAAGACAACAGAAACTGAGTTTTTATTGTTTTTTTGAAAAATATTTGCCCATTTTTAATTTGATGCCAACAACTTGTTCCAAAAAAGTTGGGGTGGGGGCAACAAAAGGCTGGTAAAGTTGTGTAATGCTAAAAAAACACCTGGCCATGATCTTTGAGCCCACATGCAGCACTGCATTAAAAACAGACATGATTCTGTAGTGGAAATCACTGCATGGGCTCAGGGGTTGTATTTTGCGAATGGATAGTAGATATTTTTCTCTACATGTGACACGGGCATCTTACACAAGTCTTACAAATAAACCCATGTGAACCAGCTAAAGGTCATTTATCAGTGTAGATACTAAAATAAACTGAACAGAGCACAGGTAAAATACAGTTAGAGTAGACAATAGAGTTGCCATAGTAACTGTAACCAAATAAATTCAGTATAAGAGTTTCTGCACTTTCTTATAGATGCAAAAATTCAAATATAGCTAATGACTTATAATCAATTACTTTCAGTGTGGAAAAAAGCGACGAAACTACCCAATGAGCAGTGACTGGTTCTCAGCTGACCTCAGAACAGCTGTAATTCGGCCCTAGACTTGACTGCTCACTGTGTTCATCTCTCTACAAGATGCTATGCTGCCCTGAGAACCAGAGTAACACTAACGTTGACTTAGATGTTCTTGAGATGTTCAGGTATGCAGCACACATGCTATAGGCTAACGTATAACATCTCTATGGTAAAAGTGTAGCTGGCTGAGAGTTTATGGGTGCAATTAACACATTACGATTGTAAAATGCAAACTCTGTGTTTCATTTTTTGTTTGGGCTGCTCGTAATGTTGCTGGCTAAATCAGCCAGCTTTAGTCTAGTTCCAGTAGCTACCCAGTTTAGGCTGCAGGCCCCACAGTAGGCTATATTAGGTGATTAGATGAGAAATTAAAGCTGTATTTTGTTACCTACACATAACAGACTACAACCAGCATGAGAAAGTTCACTGTTAACCAGCATATTGATGGTATAGCATCGTGTAGCTAACATTATTAAGAAATCAGCTGAAGATGTCTGTAGCCTAAACCATTCTGAAGTTGTGACAGTTAGATTCAGTCATGCAAACAGGCCTTGGGTTGTAAGAGTTACTTGCCCTTTCTTTAATCATTTTTAGGTTGTGTCTCTCCAGCTCAGCTCTCTCCCACCATTAAAGCACGTCTGTGTTTTCTTTTTATCTGCGTTCACTGTATGTGCAGTCTACCTGCTTTTTCCAGAATAGCAGAGGAGTGTATTTGCCGGTTGGGTTTGCAGTATCTCTCCAGCGCAGCTTTCATCTGCTGTAGTTCAGGTCCGCTGTTCCAGACCTCTGCCTGCTTCTCTCCAACCTCGGTGAATCCTACATACTTCCCCACAGTGCTGTTAAACTGTACGTCTGGAATCTTATTAAAATAATATGTGTCTATGAGCTCCAAATCAGAAAGATCTGCTGAACTGCTGATGCATTCTGTTATGGTATAATGATAATATCCACCTGAAAATTAAATTAAATACAGAAAAAGGAAGACAAATAGTTAGTTGCAATTACAGTAATGTAAGACAATCAGATATATAAGCAGTTAACAGTTGATGAATTCCCAGACAAATGTAAAGATTAAGCAGATTTTGTGTCATATTTTGTATTTTATTATTACTTTTAACAAGCCGTAGATAAGTCAGGGTTTTATAAATAGATTACAAGCATAAAGGGATTTATATATGCATCACTTAAACCTCCTTTTCTCAATATTAAACAACCTTTATAATTCTTTTTTTTTCTATATTGATCAAATCAATTATACTATAAACATACCTGTTCTTATAGACAGAGTCAGTGCGAGCAGCAGCTGCAGAATCAGCAACATTGTGTCTCTACATCCAACAACAACTGAGAGAGTTTCAAGGAGTGACTTCCAGACTCTTCAGATCAGTAACCAATCAGAATCAGCTACACCACTGCATCACATGTTACTAAGTAGCAGCATAAATGCATCTTGGTCTCCATTTGTTACGTTAAAAATGTAGTTCTTTGGCCAAATAGTTCATTTGTACAGACATACAGTCCTGTTTCAGTGCTTCAGTGTTAGGTTTTATGGTCTCGTATGTGTTCCTTTGCCACCACAAGCATGAACAGTGTTGCATTATTAATACCAAATGGCATTAATGAGCACTGTGAATACCAATGTGTCATGGTGATAGTTTAGTTGTATTATTACCATGTTTCCTTTTTATCTGATTGCCAAAATGATCAATACTCACAGTATATTTGCAGTAGTAGGCTATGTTCAATAGAGTCTGGCTGCAGACCTGCACTCTCAGCCAGATGCACTTTCAGCCCCAGTGACGTCACGTGCACATGCACTCTCTGCCACGGTGGCAGAAGCCGTCCAACGACACGGTAACTTTCGGCTGCTGCTGCTTAGCGACATCATCACTTTATTCATTTTTTGTCAGAGAGTTACATTTAATGTACCTCCCTGTTGAAAAAAAAAAATCATAGAACCCATTAAAAGGTTCCTGGTGGTGTTCAGTAGTCGCTGGTATTCTGTGTTTTCCTGATGGGTTGATATCACAGTGAAAAGGATTCTGATCATTTAATCAGGTCTTCTGGGCCTGATTCCAGATACAGTTGATCGTTTACTAATGGCGTCTAATGGCAACCATCAAGCCAATTCCCGTTATGAAGCAAAACCATCAGGTTTTATTCCTAACAGCCTTGCAAACACAGTTACGTTGTGACGTTGTCACTGTTTTGGTGCCCACAGCGTCGTCTTCTTGGTGCTTTTCTACATTGTCGCAGTTATGACAATGCTGTCTGACAGCTTCCTAGGAAGTCGTGACGACATTGATGAGACAGCAAAATTTAATTTAGTTCTATTTAATCAATATTACAGTTTTTGATAACCGGTTCTAATCATCTTCAGCTTGGCTTTCATGAGTTACAGCAGCCTTTTAGTTTTTTCTGCGAATAAACCCGACATTCGTGTCTTATCGTCGTGGTAGGTTTTATTTTGAAAGTTTCCATATTTAATTACCTTATTATTAGTTTGGCAACGTTAATATACATTCAATGTGACTCTTGTTGCCCAGCACTACGTGGTTCGCTGTTTTTCTCATAAGGCCAGCAAAAACACTGTCATGGCAGAGTGGCACTGACGTCATCAACAGGCTGGCGGTGCATGTCAGGCTGAGAGTGCAAGTCTGCACCCAGACCCTGAAGCTATGGTCAATTTTAGCTCTCTTCATGCTTTTACTACTACTGGGCTGCTGAGAGATTAGGATATAGCATTCAGGTGCCTACTAGAGGCCTTCTAATCTACTCCTTTATGTTTCCTTGATGTATTGATCCAATAATTGGCTCTTTGCAAAAGAATAATTAATAAAAAAACACTCAACCAATCATTAATGTCTCTAAGCATATGCTTGTCTTTCACGTGTTGTGGATCAAGCTGGGCTGTACTTGATGCTCAAATCGCTCTAGGTCATCATGTGGAAGGAGCTGGTCCATCTTTTGCCTTTGTAGGCAAAGATCAGAGTTTAAATCTGATGTGAACAGATAAAAGACACCAGTGAAAGGACTGCAGTAGTGCGGTGATGTGAGTAAACATCTGGATCAATTGTAAGGGCCTGACTACACAAATAGGAAGACCAGAAAGGAGAGAGATGCAATAAGTCTCAAGATGACAAGACACTGGAGAATCAAATCAAAAAGGAGAATCAAATAACGGTGACCACAGATTGTTGAGCAGCTAAAGTCTTGTATCAAGCAAGAATAGGCAAAAATTTCACTTGCAAAACTGCAACAATCAGTTCTGAATCCATTACAAAGTGTACTTAAAAGAAAAGGTGATGTGACACAGTGATAAACATGCCTCTGTCACAGTTTTCGCTGGGTGTGTTCCTGGCATCAAATTCTAAATTGGTTTATGTTTATAAAATGCAATTTGGTCAGTGAAAACATTAGAAATCTTTTCTTGGTAATTTTGTCAGTGAAAAAAACTTTCAAGAGAATTAATAAATCATAGATTGTTTTTTTTTTTGTTTGTTTGTTTTATATTTGCATTTCACAAAATTCCCCAACTTTTCTGGAAATGTGGTTTGTAAACCTATGAAGCTGTAAAGAATTATTGCTCTGTAGATTTAATTCTTACTGTTACTAGTTTATTATTCTTTGGCTGATCATGTAAACAACACTGTAAAAAAGTGAGACAGAAAGTTTCAAAGTTGATTTGAAGTGTTTTTGAGGTTTGAGCTGATGTAAAATATTGATTTGGTTCATCTATACTAAAATTTTACTGTGCATTGTTTTATTGAATGTAATTTATGAGCTGAATAAAAGCCGTTCAAATGTTTGATACCAAACTGTTAAATATTTTTAGGTTGTTTTGCTTTTACAATGAATGCAAAAACCTCACTACATCAGAAAAACATTACAAAACAGAATGGTATATCTTTATTGTGTAGGAACAAATTAAGTAGAACTAAAAAATCAAATGTAAAACAGCAAAGAACTTTTGCTTTTCATCATCTATGGTACATAATATCATTAAAAGATTCAGAGAATCTGGAGAAATCTCTGTATGTAAGGGACAAAGCCAAAAACCAGTATTTACTGGCTGTGATCTTTGGGACCTCAGGCAGCACTGCATTAAAAACAGACATGATTCTGTGGTGGAAATCACTGCAGGGGCTCAGAAACACCTCTGAAAACCACTGTCTGTGAACACAGTTCATCACTGCATCCACAAATGCAAGTTAAAATTCTAAAATGCAAAGAAGAAACCACATATAAACAGGATCCAGAAACACTGCCACCTTCTCTGGGCTCAAGTTCATTTAAAATGGACTGAGGGGAAGTGGAGAAGTGTCCTGTGGTCCAACGAATCAACGTGAAATACTTTTTGGAAATCATGGACACTGTGCAGGGCAGTGTTCCCCCAGGACCTGGGTTGGAAAACATTGGGCTAACTCAGGATCTCCTGAATAGGAACATCCATCGTTAGCCATTCAGGTCCTCTGACAGTCCTGCGAGCCTCTGCTCGAAGCTGGACAATGTCACCAATTTTCATTTTGGCAGAGCTGATGAAAAAGTTATGATAAGGAAATGCAATTGCAAATGGCAGAATGTTATTCCGTTTTTAACACCTCAGAGTCAGACCATTAGAGTCAGACAGTAAAATAAATGTCAAAAGCACTTTGCTTTTCCATATTTATTTTTTCCTGACATTCTACACAGAGATGCATACATAAATGCATGTTTTGCATTTGCATTTGAATTATGTGTTAAACAATACACACTCACATGAGAAATGCAATTGTAAATACACCATTAAATTAGCATGTTTAAATTTGCATTTGAACTTGAAAAAAAATTAGAATATGCTGCCACATGTACAATATTTGACATAAGAGTAATATTTGCCTACTTATTCAAGCACACAAACATACAACCATCCACTTGTGCAATACTCAATATTTAAATGTCCAATATTTGCCAGGTGCAACTGTGCAGGTGCAATATTTTTCTTGTGCAGTACTTTGCATTTGTGTTTTGTACTTTGGTAATGTTTTATTTATATTTATTGTCTATTTATTTTAATTCCTTATTGCAATATATGTTGTATTGTAATATTTATTATACTGTAATAATTGTTTTTAGGTGTCTTAGATGTCAGCTTAGGAAGCCACTAGCAGAATTTCTTTGTATGAAACACAATGGCAATAAACTTTGAATCTAAAATACAAAGGGTACCAATAGCTTTGGCACTACTGTGTCTGTTTAAATGTTTTGAAGTAAATTACTAGAATATTCATTCATCTGTATTTTCTGCATTTTCACATTAGTTTACTTCAAGCAGTTCAGACTTCAAAAGAAGAATTTGGAAGAGTCAAATTTGGATGTATGGAACTTTATATTTTAGAAACCGTACAACACAGGAGCAACTTTGATATTAACCTATGACCCATATATCAAGTTGTGTGACTCACATGCTTTTTGTATGAAAGCCTGTTTCCGCCTGGCAGCAGAAACAGGCTGTGTCCCAAACTGAATACAACAGCACTTAACAGTGTGTAAAAAATAGCACACTACAATTAGAATCACATTCATTGCTGTAGTATGTAAAGTATAAATTCTTGGTTTGGAACACAGCCGAAATGTTTTTTAGTCCGTAATTTGGTGATTCCGGGAAACAAGTAACTTCAGTATTGCATTGATTTGAGAGCCAAAAAGATTTACAGCAGTTTGGGAAATAACTGTCAGATCTACTAAAACCAACTGGTAGTGTTATAGTACTCGAGTCCATAAATTAACCATCTTGTCACGGTCTCGACTCGGCCTCAATTACCATAAAGTCTTGGTCTTCACTCAGACTTGCCTCTAGTGGTCTTGGCTCCAACACTACCAATTGGTTTATTATTATTATTTTATTTCCTTCTTCAAATTAAGAATGAAACGACATGGTAGGGGTTCACTTTTGTTGTTGGTGTTGTTGTTGTTCAAGTTGAAAATACATAAATGTGTGTGATCAACTTCCTTTTCTTTCTCAGCCATAATGGCAATAATGTTAGTGCCAAAAATAATTCTCAGTTGTAAACTAGTGATGTCATTCAATAGTAAATATTTACTATCAGTCTTAATAAATCTGATTGAGTGTTTCATATAATAATCATCTCCCAGTATTCTGCACTTTGAGAAGGAAATTCTAATAAATGCAAAAGCTCAAAAGAGCAGCTTCGCCCCTTTTATCTTGTTGAAGATGCTATTAAAGATGCTAAAAGAGCCTTTCTTCTCTTTAGTAAACCAGGGCAGCCAATTTTCAACACCAAAACAGGGTTTATGATGGCACAAAAATCTTCCCCTTAACATGTATGAAGTAAAATTTGTTGTTTTACATTTAAATTAGCTATTAGCTGAAAAATTATGATGGCATTTTAGGGCCACTGTTAATAAAAATAAAAATAGTAGACATAGAAAATAATGTAATATTTTGAGAAAACAGTCATAATATTATTTCAAGAAAAAAAGTCGTAATATTTAGAGGATAAAGTGGGCTAACTGTAGGGGGGCTAACTGTGGGGGGGCTGCCATAACGCGTTGGGGTCTTGGTTGCTGTACTGGCGCCGGAGTTCCACTCACTCCTGTCTCTCTGTGGATCATTTTGATCATCATTCCCACTGTCTGTGAAACTTCATGCCCTCTTTGAATGGGGGGAGATGTAGCCCCCGATAGCCGTGTAGACGACCCTGCCTGCGATTCTCCTTCAACAACACAGACAGACAGTTTCCTCCGAGTCCGTCTGGCTCTTTATTCTAGATAAACACGGTTTCCTGCTCAGCCGTTTTAGCCGGTTCTTATACTAATAACAGGCTGGTGCTGATGTGCAGGAGAGACAGGGAGACTAAGTCTTTCTTTATGGGTGAATCGATATGAAAGTAGAACTACCAACTCCTAAACGCCCCTCATTTAACACGAGGAGGGGCTGCTTCACTCTGCAAAGCCTTTGGCCACAATACTGCGACCTTTTCTGGTATTAATGCCACTTTAATGTCACAATTCTACTTTTTCGTCAAAATATTACGACTTTTTTTCTCGAAACAGTAGAACTTTATTCTCGAAATAGCATACCGTATGACTTTTTTCTCAAAACATTACAACATTATTTTCAAAGTCTACTTTTTTTATTTTTAATAACAGTGGCCCTAAAACGCCATCGTAGAAAAATAGCTGGTAACCAACAATCAAATTAATATACAATGAATATAAAATCAATCCATTAGAACTACTCATTATTAGTCAAGTAAATCATTTTCAGGTCATAACAAAGAATGATGATTAAAAAAACATCACACTTTGGCTTCAACAGTCCGTAATCTGAAAGTAAACTATAAACTACACAAAATAAAAACAAAAACTGATTCTGATGTGATGTTTACAGTCAGACTCTCAGCTGCAGTTGTTTCCTTTGACGAGGAAGAAAGTTCCAGCAGCGACTCCCAGCAGTCCTGTAGCCAGACCCACTCCACAGAACACAGTCGGACCCACACTGGGCAGAACCACCTGCACATCTGTACAAAAAAACACAATACAAAAGCCCCTATAATCTACTTATTCACACAGATTACAGTTTAAGATATTCATAATTCTGGAATGCATTCTATGCAATATAATCAGTCATTAGCATAGCCAAATTTTAAAAAGAAAGAGTTCACAGTCTTTCTGTGCGAACATGATGCTTTATGTATGAGCAGCTGAAAGGCTTGTTTGGAGTTTTTTTTTGATAGCTTTAAGTGCTATAAAAGCATTTTTCTGTTGAAAAGATGTTTGATTTTTGCTGAGATACAGTGTTTTGAGTTGGGATGTGTTCTGATAATCTGTACTGATATCAGAGAATCCATAGAGAATTTAATATAGTCAGTGATGACAAAAATCTGCACGTCTATCTATCCTTGCAATAGCTTCCTCTTTGTTATGGGTGTAATAGCGCTGTTTGTTATGAGTCTGTGTTGTTTCAGCTGTTGCTTGTAAACAGAAAGTCAGTGTATGACGTTGTGGTCCACGAGTTCTAGCAGTGGAAGAGCTCTAGTTGCGTAGGCTCCAGAAAAAACGCCGTAGCATAAGTCTATGTTCTTATTACGCCTTGTCAGTACATCCACATATTGATTGAAGGCTGGCAGAGCCAACAGCTGTTAAAATTAGGGCCTCCACGTTTTAACTGAGCTTTTACTAGCAAATGTTATGTGCTATTTGCTAAGCTGCCACCTTGATTTTGGTGCTTGGTACAATATATACACCGCTAACCACAGCTGTTGAGAACTCCCTTGGGAGGTTAAAGGCTCAGGCAGACAGGGTGAGCAACTCCAGGCCTTGATTACAGACCTTTCCGTGTACCTTGATGTTGGTACACCAGTGGGAGTTGAGGCACATACACACTCCACCACCCTGCACTTTCCCCGAGTTTTTGCTTTTATCTGCAATTATGATCCTGAAGCCATCAAGGCTTGTGGTGCCCAATTTCACATCCCAATCCTGATCTTACCTCCCCTGGTTTCTGGTCACAATATTCGCAGTGTTATTGATGAATCATACACATCACAGCTGTGAGTCAACAATTCTGGGAGGACCCTGGGTAGATATGTATGTGCCTGACTTTTTGTAAACTCTTATACACTGATCAAGCATAACATTATGACCACCTCCTTGTTTCTACGCTCACTGTCCATTTTATCAGCTCCACTTACTATATAGGTGCACTTTGTAGTTCTACAGTTACAGACTGTAGTCCATCTGTTTCTCTGATACTTTGTTAGCCTCCTTTTACCCTGTTCTTCAGTGGTCAGGACCCCCATGGACCCTCACAGAGCAGATACTATTTGGGTGGTGGATCATTCTCAGCATTGCAGTAACACTGACGTGCTGGTGGTGTGTTAGTGTGTGTTGCGCTGGTCTGAGTGGATCAGACACTGGAGTTTTTAAACACCTCAGTGTCACTGCTGGACTGAGAATTAGTCCACCAACCAAAAATATCCAGCCAACAGCATCCTGTGGGCAGCATTCTGTGACCACTAGAGGATGACCAACACAAACTGTGCAGCAGCAGATGAGCTATTGTCTCTGACTTTACATCTACAAGGTGGACTGACAAAGTAGAAGTGTCTAATAGAGTGGACAGTGAGTGGACACAGTGTTTAAAAACTCCAAAAGCTTGCTAACTCTGGCCAAGGGTCCTTGGGAAGTGAAATCAGGATGGGGGGTGTTAGATTGGGCTTCACACTGGAACAAACTCATCTAGCCAAGTCTCAGTTAAGACACAAAGCTCCCTAAATGATGTCTCCATAGGACATTTAGTGTGTAGTAAGTCCAGTTTAATTTTCAATGATTGGACATTTGAAAGAGTAATTGAGGGTAGAGTGCTTTTAAAAGGTGCTGTCCGAGTCTTTTCCTCTTTATGATCTTTAACTGCTTTTTAAAAAGATATTACCTCTGTTTAGTCTATTATCATCCACACTAATAAATATGCACAGGTTATGTCACATGCTGTTTGTGGTTAAGAGATGCTGCAGGTAGTTAAATTTGGACTTTAAGTGATTACGTGAAGATTCTGAACAGGCTGTATGCAGAACAACACGGCTAACTCCTCACACTAGGCCAGAAAATACGCACATAAAGTAAGCTCTTACACAGGCAATAGCATGTAATATTTTGAGGGTCTTTAATATAGTCTCCCTGCATAAACCTCTTATGATATCTTCTCCATATTAGTTTGCTTTTTCATATCTGAAACTGAGAATTGAACCGAACCTTATACATATAGCTACTCATTCTAAATGAATCCCATATTCATTTATATTTGGCCTTTTAATCATATGCTATTTTTGTAAAATAAATATTTTCTTAATGTTAAATCCTGTTAGGCTGCATTCATAATAAAATATTAACCATAGTACACCCTGTATGCAGCAGTATACAGGACAGCATTGAGGTGGAATGCTGTTCTACAGTACAGCTTTAGCTTGGCATGTTTGTCCAAAAGCATATCGCTGTTTTTGGGGGGGGAAAATCTCTAAAATGACAACTTTACAGGAGAAGGAAAAACCCTACTTTACTTTTAATGTAAGTCAGTGGAACCAGACGTCTTTCTAAGTCATTTTGGGCAGTTTCTGTTGGTCCAGTCATCATGAAATTTACACGTAATATAAAGGGAAACAGGCATTTTCAAATTATGTCAAAAACTGAAAAAAGACAAAACTGGAGATACAAGGTTTTCTTCCGACAGCAGCGATATGTTGCCATGGTAACTGATTGTGGCTTAAGATTTGCTTTTTTGTGGATCTGAAATTGATGAAAGTTAGCTGGGCTTATTAAGAAAAAACCTGGCTTTTTGAGTTACTGCACTTTCTGGAATTACCCCCCGGTCTATTAGCAGGTAACAATCTCACCCCATGTTTTGGTCAGTGGTCTTTCCAGGGCCGTGTGCTCCACAGTGCAGGTGTAGATGTCGCCCTCCTCTGGAGTGAAGCTCAGATGAGAGACCAGCTTGAAAGCTCCATCACTGGTTGGATAAAATCTGCTGAAAGAAGCTTCACCTGTCACATTTACATTGTTCCTGGTCCACTGCACTCCGAGATGAGGAGGGTAGAATCCAGTGATGTAACAGATGAGGGTGTTTTTAGAGCCCAGCTCCACACTGTACTTGGTGTAGATTGAGCTTTGAGGGGCATCTGTGGATAAAAGCATTACTCATTTTATTACTCACAAAATATTTAGACTTCAAAATGGAATAGAAAACAATCACACTGTGATAATAAATGGTCACAAAAATGTTAATCATCACATCCTTTGATAAAAATATGAAATCAGCCCCAACACACACTACTTTTCATCCCAACACTTTCTCTTTATATTGTGACAGACTACTATACTGTACAGTAAAGCTACAGCACTATCTTCTGTTCTGTCATCACTGTAATCACATTGATTTCTGAATTTTGTGCTTTTTTCTATTTATTTTTATCTTACGACAAGTGAACATCAGTTAAACTTGCAGGGTAGTTCAAAAGGTTTTTGCAAGTGACTAAATGAGAACCAGAAAACCACCAGAACACCATTAGAACACCACCAGAACACCATTGGAACACCACCAGAACAGCTTTAGAACACCACCAGAACAGCTTTAGAACACCACCAGAACACCATTATAACACCATCAGAGCACCATTATAACACCACCAGAACACCATTAGATCACCTCCAGAACAGCAAGAGAACTCCATTAGAACACAAAAAAAAAATCAGAAAACCATTAGAACTCCATTAGAACACCTCCAGAGCACTGTCAGAACATCTTTAGAACACCACCAGAACACCTTTAGAACACCATCAAAACACCACCAGAACACCTTTAGAACACCATCAGAGCACCTTTAGAACACATTTAGAACACCATCAGAAAACCATTAGAACACCAAAAAATACAGAACACCATTATAACACCATCAGAGCACCATTATAACACCACCAGAACACCATTAGATCACCTCCAGAACAGCAAGAGAACTCCATTAGAACACAAACAAAAAACCATCAGAAAACCATTAGAACTCCATTAGAACACCATCAGAATATCTTTAGAACACCATCAGAAAATAATTAGAATACCATTAGAACACCTCCAGAATACTGTCAGAACATCCTTAGAACACCATCAGAACACAATTAGAACACCATCAGAGCACCTCCAGAACACCATCATAAAACCATTAGAACTCCATTAGAACACCACCAGAACACCATCAGAACATCTTTAGAACACCATCAGAACACAATCAGAATACCATTAGATCACCTCCAGAACAGCAAGAGAACTCCATTAGAACACAAACAAAAAACCATCAGAATACCATTAGAACTCCATTAGAACACCATCAGAACACCTTTAGAACACCAGCAGAACACCGTTTTAAGTTGTAAGCCAGCTAATTAAAAATGACTGGTCTTCAGTTTGACTGTTTGATACTGTAAACGTTTTCCTGCGAGTGAACTCAGCATTTTTAACTGTTGAACTGTCCTGATGCTTCAGGCCACACACAGCTAAGCTACTGACACATATGATTTATTGTTTTATGAATAATTTCCTCTGTTTCATTTACAGACAATGCAGCTACACAGTGAATGAGCGTGTGCTGCAGTGGTGATCGTGTCTTACCTTTCGGTTTCGCAGGTTTATTGTAATCCTTCACACAAATATCCAAGTTTTCTCTGCACGTTTCTGCATTAGCAACAGCCGTTTTATAGGCTCCTTCTTCAAAGGTGAAAGGATCTGCAAACCTCGGCAGGGTCAGCACCCCTGCCCCCTCACTGAAGTCAGCGTGCCAGATTTCTTCTCCATCCAGTCCATATATCTCCTCTTTCTCTGTATCAGAGCACAGGCTTAAGTGGATGTCTCTGTGCACAACTGGAGAACAGAGAACGGGAAAAGCACATCAGTGCACACAGGCTATTATTTATCTTAGTGGACAGACAAAATCAGACTGTTTCTGTACATTGAACATCTTTTTCAGTATAAAGTTCACTACTGAACACTGAAATATTTACTTTTACTCACATTTAGCCTCTGTGTAGAGAAGAGCTGCACAGACGAGAATCAAACACAGCTTCATCTTGATCAGCATAGAGGAAACAAGCTCAAACATGAGTGAGAGCCGACTGACTACAGTCTCTCTGTTCCTCTCTCTCTAACTGAGACCCCTCAGTAAATCATCCAATAGGATTATTACTTTCAGTCTGACACTGCAGCATCTGGGGAAGTTTAGTTTTTAGCTTCTCTTTTTCGGCACCCAACTCAGGCACTGAAACATGTATTTAGACACTTTGGTAACACTTGCTATGCATGTCACATTTGTAAGCATGTATAAACACATTTATAACATGTTATAATGCATTCATAAGGCATTATAAACATGGTTGTAAATAATTATAAAAATGAATTACACTGATTTACACTTCATAGCCACGTTTATTATACATTATGAATTGTTAATATAATGCATTACAATTAGTGTTAATAACATGTTTTACTGTCAGTGCCAAAGAAGTCAGTCCCAGCTTGGAGAGCGTAAAGTACAAAGTTTATTTCCGCTGTGGGATTTCCAGTATTTTATTTCTCAGCGCTGGTGCTGTTAGGGCTGCATCTTCAGGGCTTCAGTCCTGAATATTCAGATGCTCCAAACAGGCTGTCCAGCCTAGAGTTATTGCTACAATGTGCTTTTCTTAACCAGCGTCTCACTTTAAACACTACATTACATCACAGCAAACCAAGTACCTATCAGCCCCTCCCCTGAACCCCCTCTGACATCACCCTTCACTCTGTAACATCACTACACTACAGTACAGTAATGCTAATTTCTGCTAGCACTCTATTGGATATGCAGTGTTAAGTCAGTGCCAAGCTAATGGTGGTGTACACCGACTTTCCCACAATGGGTAAAACACTGATGGCAGCACTAGTTTAAACTCTGACATTTGAAGCCTGTAATGTGCTTTACTGTGAATGTTTTAGTGTTTCAGTAAATCCTTCAGTAAATACTTCAACTTGAAGCCTCACTCTGAACACTGGAGGAGGCTTTAGTACAGTACGCTTCACTTTACTTAGAGCGGACAAATACGACTTATATAATTATATTATACACACACACACATATATATATATATGTATATATATATATATATATATATATATATATATATATATATATATATATATATATATATATGTGATATATATGTGGAATGAAAGTCGCTGTTGAAGGGTTGAGGATGGCCAACAAAAACTGTGCATCAATTCAACTCCAGATGGAGATTAAAAGAAGGGAATTCTGATAAAGTGACCAGTACGTATACACTGTGATCCCTTGGACAGAGTGACCTGAGAGTGGCTGATATATGGTGTGAAGCCACAAATGGGTGGAGCTTCAATATATACACAATTTGACATGGTGCAGAAGAAGAGTCAGATGAGGCCTTAACTTCTGTTTGAAAAATGCTCTTTTATTGAGCGCAAGGGAAAACAATGCCACTTGAAAAGCAACTGAAAATTGAGGTCGGTCACTCCTAGCCCTACTCTTTCTTTTGATGGTCACCAAACACAAATGCACTCCCACTGACTCTGAGCTGGACACAAAATAACACAGTAAACACATACACACACTGTAACTGACGAACAACAACATAACTACATTAAATAACAGTGTAAACAGTCTGTTTAGCAGGTGGGGGAGGGACAAGGCTACAACACACACAACCCCAAAAGTCCCTCTCTGTCTGAACAAAACATTTTATAAATTATAGTATTCATTTTTTTTTTTTATCTCAATGTTCGATCCATATATATCAATGTTCATTGTATATCACAGTTCATTCAATATATATCAAAGTTCATGAAATATTTCCTGTTTGGCTTGCCATAATATATATATATACACACACACACACATACATACACACACACACACACACACATATACACACACTGCAAAAAATTGTAGCTTGTGCAAAAAGAAGAACTTGGTACAGAATTTCCCTGATTGGTTGACTTTTGTAAATTATTTGTTCTACTGACTGATTTTTTTTTTTTTTGTCAATGCTAAAACAAATATTTCGTTGAGCTAACATTAGAACATTTGTCATACTAAGAAGTACAACTAGTCTTTGAGTTGTACTTTTCTTTCTTTGTTTAACAAAGAAAATTTAGTTTATGTAACCATTACATTCTTGCTCAACATCTCATTCTCAGATTTGAGGCTTTGTTTGTCATAGGTTAGCACAAGTTATCCAGAACTGAGCCGGTCTTCCAGCAGAGCTATTAACTTAGCCTGCTAACGTTAGCTAAGCTTGCACAAACAGGTTAGCTAGTTAGCTAACAACTCTAACAAGTGTACACAACAGTTTATTGAAAATGGAAAAAAAAAAAAAACAAACTTTTGTCTTATTATTTGTGAGAGCAAACACTAATTTAAACGAAGAGACTCACAGCTGAGCTTGCACCGTCTCTTCATGTTAGCTGGGTTAGTAGCCCATCGGCATGTTAGTTAGCGTTATCTAGCTAGCTAATGGCCAGCCTACTATAGGAAAATCTACTCAAACCAGCATGTACAATATAAACCAAACAGAGTCTGCTAACGGCTGTTTGTGTTAACTTTTGCAAAATCTATGTGTAGTTTTGTACACTGGGTTTGATAGACTCTGTTATGTAGCTCCATGTGTGTAGGGAATCAGTTGAATGCCACTGGGTCAGTTTGCTCAACAGCAGAACTGCCCAGGTCCTAGAACCCATGAAAAACGTTACATTAATTTGAAATTGTCAGCAGATGCAGCGTGTCTGTTACGAGTCAGTCATAAACTCAGTACAGGTTGTTCAGTCAGTTAAATCAACATGAGAAAGTTGGGCCAACTGTATTTTTAAAATGTTGCCCAACATTTAGTGAGTTGGATTTTTTTACAGTGTAAACATTTATATCTTATGCAGCATAAAGAGTGTCTTGTGATAAGGATATGCTATTATATTCTTATTTTTTTACAACAAAATATGAAAAATATATATTAAAATAAAAATGATTACAAATATGATTATTTAAAAATTCTTTCTAATTATATTCCTGGTTTTTGGCATATTTACCAATATGCTAATTTTGCCCTTAGGTTAATTAGGTAAATCTCCATCTGCCAGTATCATAGTTTACTTTATTAATATTAAATCAGAGTTTAAAAAATGATTTTGTTAATGCACTAATAATATCTGATGTGTGCAGTGGAGCCAAAGGTCCGTCTAAGGTCAGAACAGTTGGCCAGTGAGGGTCATCCAGCCTTGCTGATGTGCAGTGCATACGACTTCTACCCCCCAGCCATCGATGTGTACTGGCTGAGAGATGGTAAAAAGGTGACCTCTGGTGTGATTTCCACTGAGGAGATGGCTGATGGAGACTGGTACTACCAGGTCCACTCACACCTGTGTGGTGGAACACACCAGCTCCAAGGAGCCCATCATCATTGACTGGGGTGAGAATAAACACACATTATAACAGACCATGCTTGTCATCAAATGTCAATAAAGAATCATCAGAACTTATATTAGCATTATTATTAAGTTTCCGACTCCTGGCACACATGTGGATAATGTCCCTCCAGAATATTCTGTCTTCTGTTTGGGTCTTCAGGCTTCTGAATGGCTGGTCCATGATTCCTCTGATTGTATCCACCCATGTTGTTGCTGGTCGTCCTCTTATTGTTTCACCTTCAACTCTTCCAAGCATAATGATCTTTTCCAAGGAACTGATTCCTCTCAAAATATGTCCAAAATAAGTGCTTCAGTTTGGTTATCTGGGCTATAAATGAGAGATGAGGCTTGATTTAGTCCAGGATCCATTTGTTTGTTTTCTTCGCCGTCCAAGTTTCTCTCAAAAGTCTTCAGCCAACACCAAAGTTAAAAAGCATCTATACTCTTCTGGCTCACTTGTGTGCTTGAACCACAGAGAAGACCACAGCCTGGACAATGCCGATCTTTGTTTGTAGAGACGAATCATTGCAATTGAAGATCTTTTCAAGCTCCTTCGTTCTTGTTCTGCCCAGCATCAATCTGTGTCATATTGTTGGACCCTCTGTTGTTAATAATAGATATGAGTAAGTAAAAGCTGTCCACCATTTTCACATCTTCTCCATCAATGGTAAAGCTAGCAGTCTTTCTTGTTGTCATAACCTTAGTCTTCTTCTTTCTTTCTTCTTTTCATTCCTCCCAGGTTTTTCTCTGATTCTTCTTTGATGACCTCTTTGAGTTCAATCCATAGCTCCTCTGGTTCTCTGTCAATGATGTCCAGCATTTGAAATTCCCAATGTTTTCTTTAAAGACAAGTGGTATTTTCTCCAGGTCATATTTTGGAAGTCTGATGGTTTATCATTGTTCTCAGCTCTTTCTCAGTAACAAGCAGAGGTAGGAACAAGTCACTAAGTTAGTAACAAGTAAGGCTCAAGTCTTCACACTCAAGACCCAAGTCAAGTCCCGAGTCAAGATAGTCAAGTCTCGATTCAAGTCCAGAATCAGTACAAGCGAGTCTCAAGTCCCAAGTCAGTAGTCCTAATCTTCGAGTTTCTCCAGTAAGACTGCGGGAGTTTAAGTGCTGAGTTGGGCACATTAATGCTGTTGATGCTTCGCTTGTTTCCAGCGTAAGGAGGTGAACTTGAACTCTAAACACTTCGCTTATCTTCCGAAATAAAATAAGTGTTTCTCGCTTTTCTCGAGTCAAGTCTAAAGTCATCAAATTCGTGACTCAAGTCGGACTCTCTGGTAACAAGTTATGTGCCTTCCAACCTGAGGGTCCCATCTTCTGGCACTCATCTCCACAATCATTCTCTTGTTGTCTACCCATGTGGTTGGTTTGGTACAGAAGCGGCTTACCATTGCCTTCATGCCTTTTCAGTTGAATTGGTGTCATTGCTGTTGTGACCTCTGTGATCGTCCGCTGATGACATCATCCTGTATTGTGTAGGTTTAGTCTGGCACCTCTGTTAAGACCTTTCTGCCCTGGGAGACCCTAAAAGGAGTTAGAACTCCAGGCATTATAGTCCCCTGCTTCTCTGATGCACACAAGCCTCCTCACTTTCACAAGGCACAGGTCTGTATCATCAAGTTATTGGCCCCTGGGCACAAATACTTAGTGGTCCCCTACCTGACTACCTTTTCTGGGTGGTTGGTGATTTTTTTTTTAAATGATATCACAGCAGGTTATATGAACCCTATGCATCACCACGATGGCAGCATATTAA